CTTCTGTAGAGCTGGTAAAGATATTTTTCCCATTCTGTAGATTGCCTCTTTACTCAAATGATGCCGTCCTTTGCTATGCAGATTGTGGAAGTGTTTGGAACTTTGGGCTGGAAAAGCCATTGAGTGCTCAGGGCTTAATGGGAACTTGGAAGAGAATGCTGAGAGAATGCAGCTGATGCAGACTTGGCTTGTAAAGTTTCAGAGAGAAGTCTGAGAGTTCATCAAAGATTCTACTGGGAGCATTCGTGGGATACATTGGCTGGGACTGAAGAATCAGCTGCAATTCACAAGAGACCAACACCACTAGAAAGAAACCTTTACTGGAAAGATTATTCTGGTTAGCTTGAGCTGAAAAATCATCTATGATTAAAAAAAGACCAGCATCATTGAGAATCTTCTGGGAAATACTGCCTTAGAGTTCAGCACATAGAAACTGTGGTCTGAGGGGCAAGGCTGCATCTCAAGCTGGAAACCAAACATGCTAAAGTGTAAGGTATCCCACATTGTAAGGGTTTTGAAGGAATGAGGGGTCATGGAGAGCAGCTGAGGCTTGGCACTATGAGAGGCCATTGGTGAAGGTGAAGCCTAGGTTACAGTGGAGAGTCTAACAGATTGGAGACGCCAAGACTTGGAATGACCATCAAGGACAGCAGCAGGTGTGGAGTGGAGCCTGAGCCTATGAGATAAGCTGTCTTTACTGCATGCAGATGGCAGAGCCGCAGAAGTAGAGCTGCCTAAGCCTTGTGGGGACTAGAAGATCATGAGTGAGTCCTAGATATCACACATTGAGCTACATTGCTGGATTTTGGTTTTGCTTAAGTGTGCCCAGTTTTTCCCTTTTGCAATAAGAAAGTATTCAACTTGTTTCTTATTTTATAGGTGCCTGTAGTTAAGAAACATTGAATACTGTAAAGAGACTTTGAGCTTTTAAAGTGTTTGAAATTTTTAAAGACTATGGGAGTTTTTAAAATATTTTATTATTTTTATTATTTTTGTGTATGCGTGTATTGCCTGCATGTAGGTAAGCGCACCCGTGTCGTGCAATGCCTGTGGAGGACAGAAGAGGTTGTCAGATCCCCTGGAACTGGAGTTAACAGTTATCTGCCATATGGGTGCTGGGTCTTCTGCAAGAACAGTCAATGTTCTTAACACTGCACCATCTCTCCTGCCCCAACTGACTGTGGGACTTTTAAAGTTGTACTATGTGTTATACTGTGATATTACCATGAGATCTTGGAGATAAACAAGAAAGGAAAGGTTATGGTTTAATAGTGACGTGTTTGTATGTCAAGTTGGCAAGGGGTCAATTGTACTGGTTAGTTTTGTCAACTTGATACAAACTAGAGGCATGTGAGAAGAGGGAACCTTGATTAAGGAATTTCCTCCTTCAGATTGGCCTGTGGGCATGTCTGTGGAGCATTTTCTAGACTGTTAATTGACATAGGAGGGCCTAGCCCACTGTAGTCAGTGCCATCCCTTGGCAGGTGGGCCTGGGCTGTCTAAGAAGGGTAGCTGAACAAGCCACTGGGAGCAAGCCAGCAAGCAGCCTTCCTCCATCTTCTCTGCTTCAGTTCCTGCCTCCAGGTTCCTGCCTTGAGTTCCTGCCCTGATGTCCCTTAGTGATGAGCTATGACTGGGAGTTGTAAAATGAAATAAACACTTTCCTCCCCAGTTTGGTTTTGGTCAGTTTTTTATAGCAATAGAAAGCAAGCTGGAATGGAAAACAATAGATTTCCCCCCATCCAAGCCACTGCTTATAAACCAAAGGGAAAATAGAACAATAGTAACCCAGGCCTGAGCTGGTTGGGAATTCCCGCAAGAAGCTAGTGTGAAGGCCATTCATGGGGAGTGAACATTGTCTTGAGAGACAGTGTGTTGGAGCTAGGCCCACCCCACTCTTTTCTTGGCTATCTGTGAGACAGAAACTCTGCTTCTAGGAGATGCTCCTGGGGGTGTTCACCTAGCTTCTGGGTGTAGCAGGTGTCTTCTCCCTTTCTCCCCACTCCTTTCTTCAGTATGAGAATAGCAGACCAGAGACTTGTCTGTGGACTGTAACTGCCAAGAATTTTGTATTACTTTTCTTGTTTTGACAAAAGCAACTTAAGGAAAGGATTGAGGCAAATGGTCACATTGCATCCTCAATCAGGAAGCAGAGAGAGATGAATGCTTATGCCCAGCTGGCTTTCTCCTTTTTCATTCAGTCTGGAACTCCAACCCATGGAGTAGTGCCATCCACATTCAGGAAAGGTCTTCTCTCAGTTAAACAGTCTGTCACAGAAAGATCCCACTCTGTGGTGCCAATTTTTGTTCAAGCTTTTCTGACCACAAGCAACTTGGAGAGGAAAGGGTTTATTTTAACTTACAAGTTTCAGGTCATTGATGACAGAAGCCATACAGGAACTCGAGGCAGAAACTGAAGCAGAGACTAAGGAGGAATGCTGCCTACAAGCTGCTTTCCCCTGGTTTGCTCAGCAACCCTATTACATAGCCCAGGCCCATCTGTCCAGGGGTGGCACCACCCACAGTGAACTGGGCCCTCCTTGCATCAATTAGCAATCAAGAAAATGCCCCCACAGACCAACCTTATGAAACCAATTTCTCAACTGAGGGTCCCTCTTCCCCGGTGTCTTTAGTTTGTATTAACAAAAACTAACTGGCATATTTTCTTTCTTTCTTTTTAGTTTTTGAGATGAGGTCTCACTCAGTAGCCTAGACTGGCCTGAAATCTCAATCCACCACACTCAGCTTGGGGTTCCCAATGTCTGTCAGAGTCACTCAGCCCTTCTTCAATAACACTGTGCACAGGGGTGTGACCTGCAGGGGCCTTGGCTGCCCAGCAATAGAGTAAAGCCTCCAATCATGAAGGAAAACAGAACAGTGCAAAGATTCGTCTTTCCCTTGTCCTGTTTTTACAGTTGTTTTCCACACTCTTCACTCCTGAGAACCCTAGGAACAGGAAATTGGGTTTATGGTGCTCCAGAAGACAGGAAGGCAGGCAACAGTGCTGAGTTTCATTCCTTTTGTTTTTCTTTTCATTTTCTGTGTGTGTGTGTGTGTGTGTGTGTGTGTGTGTGTGTGTGTGTGCGCGTTTTTTTTTTTTTTTTATATATGTGTTTTTCCTCTTGTGTGTGGTGTGTGTGTGTGTGTGTGTGTGTGTGTGTGTGTGCGCGCGCGCGCGCGCGTGCGCGCGGAAGCCTCTCCACCTTATTCAATGAGGCAGGATCTCTCAATCAAACCCAGAGCTTGCAAGTATGTCTAGTCTTGCTAGCCATCTTGTTCTGGGACTCTCCTGTCTTCGCCTTCTGAGGCAGGAATTACAGAGGGGCTTCCACACCATCCAGCATACACCTGGGTTCTGGCAAACTGAACTCGTCTTCCTACTTGCATGACAAGTGCTTTAGCCACTGAGCCATCTCCCCAGACCCATTGAGGCTCATTTCTGCTTTTAAAAATCTCTGCCAGTCTTTACATCCCTGGGCTCTTACAGTTCTCAAGAATCCTGGAATAGTCTGATCTCTTCTTAGACCTTAACAAGCAGAAAACACGGGTCTCCCAAAAAAACCTTGCTCAGACAGTAAGCAAACATAGTTAATTAAATTGCATAAAATATTAGAAAGATTTAAAATCAGTCTCTTTGGGCATCTTTGCAGTTTTCCTTTGCAGGCATTTAACCTGGCCTAGAGTGAGATGGTTTCCTGGGAAGTGCCTCTGGGGTCATGACCAGGTGAGCAGCAGCTCACACAGGCACTGGAATGACCCGAAATCACACTTAAGCCGCCTATTAAAAGCCAAGCTCCAGCCTAAGTTATTTGTACTCACCTCAGTCCAGGACATGGGAGGGGCCAGCCAAGCTCCACCTGGCACAGGGACTCCCCGGCACCTGGCCAGGCTTCTCTGGAGAGTCTCAGAACAGTGTGGAACTCACATCAAATCTAGGGGACAGATGACGGACAATACTGGGGAGTCCACTGCTGTAGGGAGGGGCTGCCAGAAAACCCACTGCCTAGGACTTTGCCATGGATCTGCCCCTGCATGCTCCTGTGTTTGGGTCCTTGGCCAGCAGTGACAAGTCAGCCCTTCAGCCTTCACCATGCCAGAGCTATAGAGACAGTAATCGGAGCTCTGACTCCTTCTGGTCCCACCGTTGTCTACTGGTCCAGCCAAAGCAAGGCCACACCTATGTGTCTACAACCTGATGCAGATATCCCCCCTTCCAATAGCCTTTGTTGGGTTTTCCTCAGGACTAATACTTTTCTCTGCTTCCTCACAACACTAGCCCACACTGAGCCCAACATATGTGATTGAGCCCAACTGTAGTAGCCTGTCATTTCATGTAGTTCCTGTGACACCTGTATAGAATGCAGCATGTAGATGCCACCACAACATTTTCACCCAAGGTATTTTAAGCATAAAACCTTATCTAGTTTTTGTCAGAACAAGCCAGATGGCCAACTTCTAGTGAAAACATTTAGTGGTGCAACTGTCAAATTCTCCTTGCCTTGTGACAAGAAGGACAGATCCCACTAGAAGGTCCCATGGGATGAATAGACACTTAGCTAAAGATTTTGCAGGGCCTGAAGCATGATGGGCCGGAAGATGTTTGGCATTGACCTCTGATCAAGCTGGTGCTAAATGGACCATATTTAAGCGAACAACTAGAGGCTCTGAGACTCAGGAGGTCTCCAGCTGCTCACAAATGATGGCTGTGTCCCAGCAACACATGGGCCCGTGTGACCCTTCTCTTTCCTAGCTCCTTGTTACAATCTCATCTGCAACTGAGTTTGCTCTTTCCATGTGTCATAAATCAGTCCATTGGAAAATTCTCTGGGGTTAAAAAAGTACAAGAAAAGAAAACCTTAGAAAAATAAGTAATTCATTTATTTCTACTTCAAAATATACGATATACATTAGGGATTCTAAGAGGCAGAATAAACCACAGGATGATTCCATCATAAAAAAAATAAGGTAAAAAATAATAATTGCCCATTTAAGATCCATCTTTAATCCAGCAGAACAGGACATAAGTTGCCAGTCATCTTGCTGTTCTGGCGCATCCCTCCACTGGTGACTTTCTGGCTGCCCCCCAGGGATTCAGAATCTAGAAGTTCCTGGAGCATCTTGAGGACTTGCTTTGGTTGGCTAGCAGCAAAGTCCTGCAGGCGGGACCCCATTTGCCCCTGGAGGCTCCTGGCCAGCTGGCACACCACAGTGCGCACATTCCCGCCACGCCCAGGCAGAACACCGTTCCCAGTCATGTTGTTCAGGAAGTACCAGAGGACAGGAAGGGCATGCCGTTCCACAGTTTGGGGCTTCCGGGGGTACACTGAGGCCACCAGCACTGTTGCAAAGAAAAGAGGGAGGGTCACTTGAGGTGTTCATTCTCTCTCATCTTACTGTCCTCTCTTGGGACATTAATTCTGTCCTCCAAAGGGCAGACACCCCAGTAGGGCTGATTTTTCCCTTCGGTGCTGTGCGTTGACTTACCTCAATGATGGATTGTGACCTAGAAGTATGAGATGAAATAAAGCCTTTCCTCCCCACAAGTGGTTTTTGATCATGACATTTATCACAGCTATAGAAACCAAACTAGAACACGACCTGTGAAAGTCACACCAACACAGAGAACTGCTCCACCAGGGATGCAACTGTCCTGGCAGGAATGAAGATTATTCTAGAGAGACTCTTGCGGCACCCATTTGGCTCTTCAACTATGGAGACAATGGCTGCTAGAAAATTGAAATTTACCCAGGAATCTCATGCTGGGAGAAGACAAAGTTAGAAGCCTGATGCCAGCTGGAGGAAGAACTTGTCTCCCTAAAAGAGATTTCATAGTTCTAACAACCTGTCATACCACCTTGCAGCAGAGGTTTAGAGACAATGACAGTGGATGAGACCACACCTTGACCTGGACTGTTTAGCTATGCATACCTCTACTTCAACCTACACCTCAGGTCAGGACCCCTAAGATAGTCCGGGGGAGGTCACTGGACCTCGTTGTTGCTCTTCCTCCTTTTCTTGCTTTTCCCTCTTACTTGTTTCTTTAATTGGCCTATTGAGAATGGGTGGCTGACCCTAGCTTTTTAGGGCTGCCAGAGCCCAGGCTCTGACCCTAACAATTCTGATAACAGGGAGAGAAGTCAAGACTCTCCAATGAAGCACTCTGGCAGATAAAACAGCTAGGGAGGAACAATAACATCAGGGCTTCCCAGTCTCTGGATGCCAAACCTCACAATTCAGTAAGAGTGATCTGTGAGGATGAATGTGTGTGCAAGTCATCAGGCTCCACATAGACCGTTTCAGTGATGAAGCCCCTGAATCTGGTTATCCAAGAACTCAAAATTCTAAACTCAAGAATACTCAGCAGCCAGCTCTCCATCACCAGAGTAGGTACCAGGGTTATGGCCAACAACAAAGCCTCTCCAGGTCTCCATGAAGGGTTGGTTTGGCCTGAAGGGATGGCTGAATTACTAAGCACATTAGTGTTAGTGCTGCTTGTTTTACAAGCAGCTGGCTCTATGTAGCCAGCTCTGTCTGAAGTCCTGCCAAAGGCCAAGTTGTTTTCATTGATTTATGGGGTCAACAAACTGGAAGAGTCTGGAAGATTTTGTGGGCACAGCCATATCCCAGAAACTACTTTAGTTGGAGATTTGGAGCTTCAAGTCTCATTTCATGCTAAAAGGATAGACATGAGCCCATTGGCCAGAAGAGGAAAGCAAGACTCAGGCTAAGGAGTTTTGTTCATAAGGACAGTACTGAAGATGAGGTCACTCTGCCTTGACTCCCTACCCCTCACTCACACTGTCTTCCAAACGTCTAAGGGTTCCATATCTCAGAGGCTGGTCCGGAGCTTTAAAATCTCCTAGTAGCTCCTTCTTTCACCAGCTTAACATCAGCCAAGACCAAGGGTGTTCCTCTGATTTCAGGGCCAACCCAGGACGTGGAGAGCCAAAACAGATGGCCTGAGCCTCAGATCAGCCTGATGTTCTCCACAGCATTTCCATCAAACATAAGTATTGACTATGACTAACCCAAGCACTATGAGCACCCCAATCTATGGGGCTCCCCTGGAACCACTAAGGATCACAGGTCCCTCTGACATCAAGGTAACAACATCAAGGAAGGTAGGGCTATACCCTCTAGGTCAACCCATCCATATCAGCATCCACTAGGAAAGGCTCCAATACAAAGAGACTTGAAGCGACTTCATGAACAGGAGTGCTGGCTGGAAAGAACCAAGGGCTGTGCTCTCTAGGATTGAAGCAAGCCATGTAGGGAGAACATGTTACCAAGAAGACAGAAAAGTGACCCAGTCAGCCCCAAGGAGGTGGGGGTCAAGGGGAGACACGAGAGAAGCAGCTATCTGTATAGAACAACCACAGCTCATTTCCAGAATCTCACCCAGGAATAAAAGTAAGAACATGAAAAACGTGTGTACCCTATGTTCATGGCAGCATTACTTACAGGAGCCAAGAGGCAGGAGCAACCCAGTGTTCACCAGGTGGATAGGTAAACACAGCATGATGTACACACACAGCAGAATACTGTTCTGCCTTAAAAAGGAAATTCTGGGACTAGGGAGATAGTTCAGTCAGTAAAGTGTTTGCTGCAAACTTGATGATATGAGTTTGATTCCACGGAACCCATATTAAAAAAAAAAAACTGTGGGGGCTGGAGAGATGGCTCAGTGGTTAAGAAGCAATGGCTGCTCTTCTAGAGGACCCAGGTTCAATTCCCAGCACCCACATAGTGGCTAACAATGTCCGTAACTCCAGTTCCATGGGGAATTCGATGCCCTCTTCTGACCTCTGCAGACATTGCACAACACAGGTGCACTTACATACATTCAGGCAATACACCATACACATAAAATAAAAAATAATAAATATTTTTTTAAAAAACTGGGCACAGTAATGTACATCTATAATCTCAGCACTGGGGATAAAAAGACAGGAGAATCCTTGGGGCCAGCTGGTCAGCCAGTCTAGCCAAATCAGTGAGCTCCAGATTCAGTGAGAGACCCTGCCTTAAAAAATAAGGTGGAGAGACACTGCAGAAGGTCAGAAACCTCTGACCTTCACACACATACATGCACAACCACCCATGTATTTATACACGTGCACACAAGAACACACACACACACATGCACACACACACACCCCGAAATTCTGACACTGCTACAACATGAAGGAACCTTAAAGACATTATGCTAAGTAAATGAACCAGTCTTAAGAAAATAAATTGTGTAGGATCCCACTTACATGAGGTACTTAGAGAAGTCAGTCTCACAGAGATAGGAAGTAGAATGGTAGTGCTGAGGCCAAGGTGGTTAGGGAGTTAATATTTGATGACTGATAGCTTCAGTTTTGCAAGATAAAAAGAAACGGATGGTGGTGATTGTTGGACAACGTTATGAATGCATTTAATACCAATGAACCGTACCTTTAAAATAGTGACAGGAGTAATTTTTTTATGTTATGTGTATCTTAACACAATAAAGACAAGAAAAAAGAAAGTAAGAATAATCCCAAGAACTAGGCCCAGGAACAACACCTTGACCTCTACCAAAGTCATTCGCCAGCCTGTGCCTTATACAACCCCTTCCTCTGTCCTTTCATGGCTGACTCACACACTTTCCTGCACCTTGTCTCTCTGAGCAGTGAGGTGTACTCCCCCTCTCAGGCCCCAGAGGCCTACTTCTCAGGAAGAACAGCAACACCCAGCCTCAGCTCCATGGCTCACACTCCCTCACCTGCTCATGTCTCAGCTGCCTTAGGGCCATGCTCCCCAGGTACAGAATGTGGCAGTCATCTGACTGGCCAGGTCAGTCTGTCAAGCTGGCAGAGGGAGAGAAGTCCTTTGGGAGCCATTGTGAAGGAGCAACCCCATTAAACTCGAGCTTAAAAGACAGCTAAGTAATTAGCAAAAGATTTACTCCGAGTAAGCGGTGCTATTTCAGGCCATGCCTCTGTCAAAGGAAATGTTCTTGCTGCTAGCTGACACCAAGTCAGCAGAACTTTGGAGAAATTTGCCTTTGAGGTCTCTAGGAAAGAGATGGAGAAAACCATAGTATGTGGATAATCTATAGTGAAGCTTCTCATCCACCTCTGGGGCCCCCTAAGTTACCTACACCAGGTTAGGTAAGGGTTTCCCTCCAAAAACACTAATTTTTTTCCTTTTGGAGACAGGGTCTTGTGTATCCCAGGCTCATCTCAAACTCCCTACTTAGCTAAAGATGACCTTGAATTTCCTGCCTCTACCTCCCAAGTGCAGAGATTACAGACTTCTATCACCATGCCCAGTTTATGCAATGCTGAGAATCAAACCCAGGATTTTGTGCATGCCAGGTAAACACTCTTAACAACTGAGCTACATTCCAACCTTTCTTTTTCCAGTGCTAGGGATGGAACCTAGAACCTCCATACATTGTAGGCAAGCACCCTACCACTGAGCTACATCCCCAGCCCCTCAAAATACTGATTTTGTGTAAAAGAAAATGACTATTATGTCTGGTGGACTTCAGTCCCCAGTTTCATTCTACCTGCTTGGCGCCTAGATGGGAGGTAAGGAGCCATTCCAGGGATACAGGGAAGACTGAACCAGGATGCAAAGGCAAGGCCAGGGGCAAAAGAAGAGGTGGAAAAGCCAGAATTAGCTGGCACCCAGATCCTCAATGACACTGCCTGTGACAACCCCTGAGTGTCCAAGGCCAAAGGGTACTAGAGGAGCAGCACACTGGTGATATATCATGGGGTGTGCTTCCCAGAAGCACAGGAGAAAAAGGAAAGAGGAGATGATGCTAGGTGCCAGGATGCTGTGGGTCAGGAAGAGGGTGACACCAGGATTCCCAGGCATGGAGCCACATATAGGCTGATGAGAGCAGTCTTTCCTCAGTTGCAACCTGACCAAAGCAAAGATTCCAGCCAAGGCCCCACCTCACTTAAGGCAGGCCCAGCATGAAGCTGAGGGGCCAGGGGATGGTCCGGCCAGTGTCTGTCAGACTAAAGAAGCAGCATCTTTTATAATTCTCGTGACAATGTCCTCTTCTGCCAAGTTATATGCTTAGCAGTGTCTACCTGAAAGGGCCAGCCTTCCTGACTCACCACAAAGGCGCTCAATGGAAGCCAGGCATTGGAGCACATACCTGTAATCCCAGCACTAAAGAGATTGAGGTAGGAGGATTTCAAGCTCAAGATCAGCCTGAGCTACATAGGGAGACCCTGTTTCAAAAACAAGAGGGGACTGTGGAGATAGCTCAGTGTCAGTAAAGTGATTGCCTTACAGCCATAAAGACCTGAGTTCCATCTCCAGAACCCACATAAAACACATACAAAAAAGCCAAGCTTGGTGGCACATGCTTCTAATCTTCTCACTGAGGAATGGAGAGAGGTGGCTTCTTAGGACTTAATGGTCAGACAGCCTTGCCTACTTAGCAAGTTCCAGACCGATGAGAGCCCCTGTCTCAAAAAAGCAAGGTAGACAGTGCCTGAGGAATGACAGCTGAGGTGGTCCTCTGACCTCTGTCTGTATGTGCACATGTGCACCTGCACACACAAGCATGCAAACACACACACATTTTTTTAAAGGTGCTCAGGGGGCTAGAAGATCCCTGGTCGATAAAGAAGAAGAAACGTATTCTTAGAAACCATTTGGTTATATACATACGTGGCTCATTTTGACCAAAAACAAAGATTGTCTTCTGGTAATGTGGAGATTGTCACACACAGGAAAAGCAAATTATCAAAATTCTTAAACTCTGTGAGATTTAAGAAAGCATATTCCAGAAGAGAACAGTCATGTCCAGGCTGGGTGAAATCAGAGGTCTTACCTGATAGGCGTTCTGTGACATCCAACACTGCAGGGCCACTCAGGAAACGCACACGACCAGCAAATGCTTGCAAGAGGCAAAGGTGGTCTGAAAAAGATGGAGATGTCAGTGGCCATGGTGCTGCGGGTCAAGCCATGGCACCAGGCACTCAGGGAACCAAGTGCCCCATACCCACGTGGGGAAAGAGGCCCTATGGGGAGCTGAATTCATTTTTCCAAATCACAGTGGGGCCTATTTTTTAAATCATGTGTATGGAGGTCAGAGAACAACCTTGGGTGTTGGTCTTATTTGAGATGGGGTCTCTTGTTTGCTGCTGCTGTACAACAGGCTAGCAGGCCTGTGGGCTTTTGAGATTATACTGTCTCTGCCCTCATCTCACTGTGGGAGTGCTGGAATTATAGATATATGAACTACCACATCTGGGCATAAGAACTCAGATCCTTACACTTACATTGTAAGTGCTTTATCCACTGAGCACTCTCACAGAATCACTTTTTTAATGTGAATGGACATTGGATAACTGGGGAAGAACGAGTGGTCTAAAGCAATTAAACTGACTCCCAAACAGGCTGCCATTTACTCCCATGGATCTGGTTCATAGTGTCTGTGATTTTCCAAATCGTCCTAAAGTGAAGATGAGATAAAAGAAATAGATGGATGGTTGACAGACAGACAGACAAATAGCAATGATAGCTAGGGTGAGTATGTGGACATTTTAGTGCATTTACAGCTTTAGGAGAAAATGAGCCATTGAACCACGGTCATACAAAGGTCATTAAGGGACTGGGGTTAGCATTCAAAAGTCATGTCTCTCCTTGAAGTCTGAACTCATACTCTAACCAATAGGACATACCCATCCCAGGTAATCACTTATTTCCTGGGATGAATACTTCCTGGCACCCTTTATGTAATAGACATGGAGCCAGGAGCTAAGTAAAAGTCCTCCCACACCCTAAGAGGTTCCTTTGACTTGAACATGAGCCTGACCCAGGGTGAGAAGCTCTGTGCTGCTGTAACCAGGGCCTGGAGACCAGAATCAGGGGTGACCAACTCCACTTGGACAGCCCAGAGCTGTCCCAGCTCTAGCACTGATAGCGTACACCCCAGCAACCCAGGATGAAGAGTCCATCTTTCAGGATGGAACCAGCTGGTATACTCTACTGGGGCTACAGGAGGGACTTATGAGCTGGGAACATGAGTATCTCTTCATGGGTTCACATGAAACCTCACTGCCTAGACTGATTTCCCCCTTGCCTATAAAGCAGCTAGCCTGAGGCCCAGGCCCAGCATGAACGCGTACGCCAATAAGGCAGCATTCATCTCTCAACTCACCTTTCAGGAGGCTTGGAGGAAAGAGGGATTTGGAATCGCTTTTTTAAAAATGTGTCCCTGGAGTGCAGCTCCCCTGGATACCAAGTCAAACCAATGCGGAAAGCACTGGGACTGAGCACTACCACCACCACTAAGATGGGAAGCTGTCTCAGGACCTTTTAGACTCTTGGGCTGGATTTCTAAAGCCAACTGCAGCGGGACCCTGTACACAATCATCTAAGCTTCTAAGCTGCCCATTGCTCCTACTGTAGCTGATATTCTCTAGTTTCTCAAACTATTAAAGACCTTCAATCTTATACAGACACAGGAGGTATCCTGAGAATTATGTGCTAACTCAGAGAAGATGGACCTCTCTCTTTCTATCTCCCCATTGCCCCTGAACCTGGAAGCCCTGGGGATGCTCGGCTCCTGACATGCCCAGCTCCCAGCATACATAACTCCCAATATTTTGCAACCACAGCAGTCATAGAATACTTAATGAGAGGTGGGGCCAGCAGTGAAATCCCTTTTCAGGGATGTAGTTACAGCGCTTGCCCACACCTGTCAGGAGAGCAGGCCAGGTCCAGTCACCCAGCAAGTGTGTTCTTGGTCCATTTTCTGCTTCCATAATTTAAAAAAACAGAATGGGCAATTTATAAAACAACAGAAATATATTTGGCTCAGTGTTTAGATGCTGGTAAGTCTAAGAGCATATGCCAGTCTCTGGTGAGGGCTTGGGTACTGCATTAGCCCATGGTAAAAGGCAGAGGGACACATGTGTGTGTCAGAAACAGAAAGGGGCCAAACCCATCCTTTTATCAGGAACCCACCCTGTGATAACCAATCCACCCCTGCAGCAATGGCGTCCACCCTTCATGGAGTGGAGCCTCTGGCATGAGCACCTCGCAGAGGTCCCACCTCTCACCACCACCATGACAGCAATTCAGTTTCATCATGGTTTAGGAGGAAACCTCCAACCATAGCATCTGAGGTGCAGAGGCTGACATATAGACAGTTTAATAAGTAGCTTGTTCAAGTTACATAGTGAAAAGAATGAACTTGATCTCCCATAATGCTCAGGCTAGCTCTTGGCCTCTGACATAGTCTTCCAGGGTCAGAAAAAAGTAAACTTGGGGAGTACTTGAAAATGAACATCTAGCAGATAACCATATCAGGCCATGTTCCCATGGCATCCAGCAGGTAGCAGGTACCTAATAAATGTCTGCAGAGTACAGGTACTTAATAAGTACTTTCAGAGTATAGGTGCTTGTTAAGTGCTCAGAGTATAAAGTAATGTCAAAATAGGACACAGTTTTCCCAGGCTGGTTTGTGAACTCCAGAGCACCACACCCAGGCAGTTGGCCAGTTTTGTTCTGGACACTTTTTTAGAGTGAACACTCAACTTTTGGGCCACGTTCACGTTTAATGAGACAATAAACCATAGTGATGATGGGTGTAGACTGGGTATAGATTGACTGAACTTAATTCCTGGCTTTTTCACATATCTTGGGTAACAATGGATGAGCCACTTATTCTCTCTATGCCTCAGCTTACCAATCTATAAAATGGAGGCAATCCCAGTTCCCTTCTCATAGAATTGCTGCAAGAACCAAATGAGTTAATTTAATATTTAGAATTGAGCTTAGACCATATGTATGTATTAGCTATTTTAATGAGTTTGATTATTGTCCTAAAATCCTTTAAAAGTCAAGCAAACTTCACATTGAAATGATCAAATAAGACCATATAGAAATAGAGTCTTACAGGCTCCTGGGACCTTGCTCATATGAATTTACAGCAATGGTGTCAGCATGCACAAGACTTACGCAAACTCGAGCAGACAAAAGCCTAGCACAGAACTGTGGAAATGGGCAGCAGGCCCCAACCTTAGCCGAAGAACTATTAGCAGCTAATTACTACTAGATGAAGAAGAGCTGATCTTCTTTAAGGAGTGACTCTTAGATAGGCTGACTACACCCCACTGAATGAACTTGCACTGAGGGACACCTAGAGACACTAATTTGACTCAATAGGCCTTAACATAAATGAAAGAATGCATGAAATCCAGTAGGGGAGGAGCTATGGGAGGGGATGATGGGAGGGGATGATGGGAGGATGCTGATGGGGAAGGGAGTATAACAAGGACCAAGATGCTGTGTATGAATTACACAAAAATTCAATTTAAAAATATTTTTAAAAAAGAGGCCAGATAGGGCTGGAGAGAGGTCAGTGGTTAAGAACACTGGCTGTTCTTGCAGAAGACCCAGGTTCGAATCCCAGCACCCATACTGTAGCTAACAACTGTCAGTAACTCCAGTTCTAGGGGATCCAACAGCCTCTTCTGTCCTCCACAGGCATTTCAAGACACAGGTGCACTTACCTACAGGCAGGCAATACACTCACACACATAAAATAAAAAAATAATAAATAAAAATTTTTAGAAAAAGGCCAGACACTTGAGCTACAGATGTGACAGTGGTGGAGCCCTTGCCTAGCATGTACAAAAGCCCTGAGTTCAGTCCCAAGCACCATTTAGAAAAAAGACACTGGAATCTAAACTCTGAGAGGCTAAAATCAATACTCCATTAGCCTAGCTCACATTTCCAGAGCCTCTCTTCTGCCTCACAAGGAAGCCAAGACTCACTGTGTGGGTGAAGAGACTATTTAAGAAGCTATGCAACAAGAAGAAAGCGGGCACTGGCTAGAGAGCCTGGGCTCCTTTGTCTACACCGGGTAGAGGGGTCATCAGGGGTAATCACACCTGTTCCACCTCAGGAAGCCCTGAGGCCACCAGGCCATGTCATCTTCAGGCTACCTGGAAGCCAAAGAAGAGCCGTGTGTGTGTGTGTGTGTGTGTGTGTGTGTGTGTGTGTGTTGAGAGTTCCAGGTTCAGTGAATATACCTCAGAGAACGTCCTCTTTCAGATCTCAGCAAACACTCTCTCCCTTGACTGACTTCCCCTTGTTCTCTGAAGGCTACATGAGTTAAAGGATGGTGTGTGTGTGTGTGTGTGTGTGTGTGTGTTTGTGTCTGTGTGTCTGTGTGTGTCTGTGTCTGTGTGTCTGTCTCTGTGTGTCTGTGTGTGTCTGTGTCTGTGTCTGTGTGTCTGTGCATGTCTATGTCTGTGTCTGTGTGTCTGTCTCTGTGTGTGTGTGTGTGTGTGTGTGTGTGTGTGCGTGTGCGTGTGTTGTGGAAGCCAGAGGACAACCTCAGGCATAGTTCTTTAAGAGTTGTCCACCTCATTTTTTGAGACAGGATCTCTCACTGGGACTGGGGACTTGCCAATTTGGCTAGACTTGCTGAACAGCCAGCCCAAGGATCCACCTGACTCCATCTCCCCAGTGCTGGGATTACAAGCACATTAACACCATGCCAGGCTTTTTATGTAGGTGCTGGGGATCTAACTCAGATCCGCATGTTTGTGTGGCAAGTTCTTTCATGACTAAGCCATCTCCCCAGCCCCACAGAAGAGCTTTTTAAAGAAAGCGTAAAAAGCATGGCAGTGTGGACAGTGGCAGCAAAGAACTGGAGTGGAAACGGCATGGGGATAGTCAACACAGACTTAGTAACTTGGAATTCTTCCCTGTGGCCCAAATTGGGTGTGGTTGTGAAGGAAAAATGGGATCTAATTCACCTGCACAAGCATGCATACTGTGGGGCAGCCCATGACTCAAGAGTAATTATATGCGAATGCTCTGATTTATTTAATCAGGACACAAATTCAAGTGTATAATATGATCATAACTACATACATAAATATGCACACTAAAAATCTAAAATAAAGCCAGATGTGGTAGCACATGCCTTTAATTCCAGCACTCAGAAGGCAGAGCAGACAGATCTCTGAGTTCAAGGCCAGCCTAGTCTACATAGTGAGACCCTGTCTAAAAAAAATTTTAAATGAAAGATGACAAATGTTAATCGCTGTTTATTAAAACACTATTTATTAAAGGATTTGGTACACATTATAAATTTGTTAGTTTCCTTTCAAATGCTTTAGATTTTTCATTTTTTCAATAATTAATAAGCATGGCTTTTACAACAAAAATGAGCTTTATGTTTTCATCTAGGAAGACTATAAAGTAGCATAGAAAGCTGGGTGATGTTTGTTTTCTTTGGAGATTTTTGAGGGACTCACCTGTAGTCCAGACTGGCCCTAAACTCATAATAAGCCTCCTCCTGCCTCAGATTCCCAATTGCTAGGATTACAGATGTGCATCACCAGTGTCTGCCTGGATAATGTTAAATGAAAGAGGCAAAATCAAAACTGTGTTCACTTTTGATTTTTAACTGGGTAAACCTGTATGCTTGTAGACAAATAGCAGATCAAGATATTTTTGAGTGTTTGGTATATTGGATATGCAACCTGGATACCGGTCTTAATCCCATTGACAATATAATACTGGCCATAGGAGTTACAGAAAGCAATGTGTTTAAAGTCAGAGAACAAAACTGCAAAGGTAGATCTGAGACCACCCTCATCCCAAGCTTATCTGCACTCTCCAGCACTGGCCAGAGGCTGGGCTAAATTAAGAGAGCTCCTCTTAGCGCCAAGAAGCCTGAATGCCAAGGTCACCTGGGAGAAGCAGAGCTGTCAGAAGCCTGAGGTTTTCATCAGGGAAGTTTCTTCTCTGACAGATGCAGTAGCAGAACCCAACAGGGCCAACCAGTCTGCTCCTGCACTTTCTTAATCCTCAGAAAAAGTCCCCTGAGATCGGATCTTGGTGTAGGAAGAATGTCATCGAGCCTCCAGCCCAGAGAGACCCCAAGGTAGGAAATGAGTGATAAAAAACAGCAATCAGGAAGCAAGCCCACGTCTCCTCCCTCACTACACCCCGCCCCCATACGCAACCGCAGCAGAAACCTGCACCTGTTCTGCCAAACCACCACCCTCAGGAGAACCAGGGAATAAGAAGAAAGAATTTGGGCTGATGAGTCTACATTATCACTGAATTCCACAATCCAGAAGGATCTTAAGAGGCTGCCTAAGAAGGTCAGCCTCGCCACTCAGTTGTGCCATCTGGACTTTGTGCCAGAAGACGGCAGCCTCATTTGGCATTGTTCTGGCCCTGCAATGGGCAGGAAACAAACAGCACCATGCTGAGCTGTTGCTCCAAGACTTTCCACATTTAAGCACTGCTCAGCATTTAACAGTCTGCCTCCATCCAGCCTGGAGCCTAGAATCCCTGGGGGCCATGAAGAAGCAGGCTTGAAAGAAAGTTCCTCCATTGAGAGGGTGCAAAGGGATCACTAGAACCTTCAGGCTCAGCCGGATAGTCTGGGAAGATCTGGATCCTTTTCTGTCCCCACTGCCCCAGGCTCTGCAGCTACCACTCACCCTAAGGAGCCAGCTGAGTTAACTTGTTTCTACTCTGGGCCAAGTTGCTCATTCTAGGCAGAGGAGAGCCCTTACTGGGGACAACTTGATTCTATCCTTGGTATTTGCTGTTGGTAATTAAATTCTCCAGGTCACTAACCTAAATCCCTATGGTTCCAATCTACATGGATCTAGAAGTCAGCTTGTCAATTCATCTTCAAAAAACACTTTCAAAGCCAATGCTGCTGGGGCTAGAGAGATAGCCCGGTGGTTGCAGAGGACCCAGGTTTGGTTCTCAGCACCCACTGGTAGCTGACAATTGTCTTTAACTCCAGTTCCAGGGGAATCTGATGCCCTCTCCTCACCTCCACAGGCATTGCATGGCACGGGTGCACTTACATGCAGTAGACAAAACACTCAAACACATAAAATAAAAATAAATAAGCCATGCTTTAAAAATTAATGCTGCTGACTGGACTGAGAAGGTGAGATACATGGCAAAGCCAACTGGTCCAGACTGTTCATTCCCACACCTGCTCAAACAGCACCTGGAGCCAAGATAGTACACTTGAATTCATGCTGTAGGCTCTACTTTTTGCCAAGAATTTACTGAGCTACATTTAACCCTTTGAGGCCAAAACCATTCCATCCCAACTTTGACACTGATCTAAGAATTACAGAAGACAGCTCCCCTCTCGCACCTGCATCATTCTCTCTGGACCAAAGCTTCTAGCTGCTGGACCAGAAGGGCCATTTCCAGCTGCATCCAAGGAGGTCTTGTCCCATAGGAAGGGAGACTCACAGGCATCTCCCTGGTAGTTAAAACACTACTCACAGTGTAGTCAGAGCCCCAAAGCAGACTGCTATGCTTTGGATATAGTTTGGCTTCCCAAAGGTGTAAGTGTTAGGAGTTTGATGTCCAGTGTTGGAAAGCAGTGAGACTTTTAGGAAGTGGAGCTTAGTGGAAAGTGATAAGATGATTTGGGGCATTACCTTTCCAAGGAATTAATCCTGGTCTTAAAAAGTGAATTACTTCCCACTTTTTTTAATCTGTGTGTGTTTATGTGCAGACACACACATGTGAGTACAGTTGCATTCATGCCACAAGCACACATATGAAGGTCAGAAGGCAATCTCAGGTGCCAGTCCTCGCCTTCCACCTTATGGAGACAGGGCTTCTAGCTGTTCACTACTGCATTCGCCAGGCTAGCTGGCCTATGAGCTTCAGGGATTCTCCTGTCTCTGCCTCCTATCACTGTAGGAGCGCTGGGATTACAGACCCATATGCTGCCGTATCCTGCTTGATGTGGGTTCTGGGGATCTGAACTTGGGTCCTCATACTTGCACAACAAACATTTTATCCACTGAGCTATTATTACCCCAACCCCAACAGTGGGTTCTTATAAAAAGATCAAAATCAGCCCCTTCTTGGTCTCTAGCTTCCTGTCTCACCATTAATCTTCTGCATGAGCTTCCACTATTGTAATGCTGTTCCCCATTGGGCCTCCACCAGAGCTGAGTAGAAACTGATACGATGCTCTTGAACTTCTAGAACCATGAATTTAATTTCTTTTTTTTTTTAAATCAGAAAGTTCCAAGCCTTGGATATTTTTGTACAGAAGCAGAAAATGGACTAATACACAGGCCATCTCCAGGCCTACTGCTTTCCAAGGTACTCATTCTAGGTAGATACAGGAAGGCCTCAGGTAAACAGTACCCAAGTCTTGTGACTATGGAAGACATCAAATTCTATTGTCCAAAGCTCTAGGCTCCACCATGCTTGGGAAGGTTGGCCTAGTGACAGAGAACAGAAACTGAGAGCTTTGGAGGAGGAACAGTTAAAATAGTCCTCTCTCCAGACTTGAATGCTCATCCTCCTCAAAGTCCAAAAGCCCATTTTGCTTGGTGTAGATTTTCCCAATAAATTCAGGGCCTGAGGTGATTTACCAAGAGCCTTGGTTATTGGCAACAGCAATCTCACTTACCCAGAGCAGCGCTAAGAACAAGCCATAATTTAGAACTCGATTTATATTGTTTGTTCTACAGCAACAAACTCAGCAAATCATAAATTTCCTCTGAGATGAAATGTGGAAATTGACAATATTTATGAACTCAAGAGACAGAGAAGGGCTTGACCAGGCCTTTGATTTGTAACTGAAACTCCTCTTGGTGTCTCTAGCCAAGGACACAGCTGCTGTGCCATGCCCAGGAGCTGGGCTTGTGCCAAAGCATGGGGAAGGAGGAAGGATGAGTGTATGGAGGGATGTTTCCAGCCTCATCCAGAATGGTCTGTGAATGCCAGAGACCAGATATTATTACTTTGAGTGCACCAGACACACAGCAACAGGCAAACAAAGGCCACTTTCAAACACAAGCTTCTTCACTCTAGCCCGGACATAAACCTACTCAAGTGCGACTTTCTTAGCACACCTGACGTTTTGAACTTTCCCTTCCAGGTATCTGCCAAATATCACCTTCTAACTACCCAGGAAATGAAAGGAACAGAAGCATAAGCATCAAGAAGTCCACATAATAATGTAAAGCACGTGAGAGCCAAGAAGTTTGTGCCCATGAGACTGGAGAGATGGCTCAACAGTTAAAGAGCACTGGCTGCTCTTGCAGAAGACCTGGGTTCAAATCCCAGCACCCACATGGTGGTTAACAGTCATCTCTAACTCTGGTTCCAGGGAATCCAACGCCCTCTTCTGTCCTCCATGGGCACTACACAACATGCTTACATATGTGCAAGTATACCATTCATACGCACAAAATAAAAATTAAAAAATGTTTTGGTCTTTTTGAGACAGGGTCTCCCTGTAACCACAGCTGGCCTAGAACTCATTATGTAGACCAGGCTAGCCTTGAACTCACCGAGATCCACCTGCCTCTGCCTCCCAAGTTATTTTGATATATCACAGTGAAAGATTTATCGTCCTCTTTTTTTTTTTTTTTTTTTAAAAAAAAAAAAAAAAAAAAAAAAAAAAAAAAAAAGGTCTTGCCCCTTCTGATGGCCACCTCAGCTCCTTCCTTTTTCCACTGTTCTTTTTCCACTTCCAGTCCATTACCAAGTCCTGGCCCAGCTGAACCTTGCCAAGCACTTCTCATTCATCCCCTGTGGTGTCCTGTGTCCCTGGGAAAATCATTTCCCTCAAGTGACTACAGGGAAGCTAGACCAGACTCTCTCTCTCTCATTGTCTCCATTCTCGACCATGTGGTGCCTAATAGACAGAATGTGAAGAAGCCTCCAGCTAAGAATTATGGTGGCCCTACAATGCCAACACCTACTCTACACAGCCTCAGAAGAACCAGCCTCAGACCCTGGATGCCAGTCTGCTGACTCCTAAGCAAGAAAGTGGGTGCGGTGGCTCAAGAGCCAGCTGCCTCCCAGAACCCCGTGGGGTCTGCAGTGGGATACTCACCCAGGCTCTCCATCATCGCATCCAGCACAGTGGAGGCAGCAGTAGAAATCCCAGAGTTCTTAGAGTTGAGGTTGTCTGCAACCATGATGATGAGAGAGAGCAGCATGGGGTGTACACTCTCTTGGAGGATGGGGAACATCTGTGCGAGGGATTCCAGCGCCCACTGGTTCACTTTCTTGTTGGAATCTTGAAGCCTTGGGGTGAAGGCATCAAAGACCTATTGAGGGAACCAAAAAATGAGATCTCATGAGAACTCAGGCTGAGTTTGCCCAATCAACTGGCCTTCACTTGGGACTCCTCCTGTATTCCTGAAAGGGATCTCCAAGATATACCAGAATGCTCCCAATGATGAAGAATGGGAAGGAGTGATAGGTGTGTATGGATCATTCCTCACATGCCAGTCATTCAGAGCATCCAGTTAGATCCTCCATACCACCTTTACTGGTGACACTAGCAATCCATGTTACTATGTTATCACCCTGCACTTTCCCCTTAACAGCTAAGCCTCAGAGAAGATGATTCAGCTCACATAGCTTGTAAGAAACCTGGATGGGTACCAGGTCCATTGATGCAGCCTGGGTCTCTAATTGCCAGTGGCTGCCTGACAGCCTAACTCCCAGAAGAAATAAGCATATGCCCTGGTGTTCAGCCTGTGATTGCTGTGCCTATTCCCAGCCTGTCCATCCTTAATGGCCCAGACACCTATCCAACCATGGTGTCTGACCCCAAATACTATATAAAGAACTAACCAGGAGTGACTTAAAATCTTGGCCACAGAAACTTTACTCCTGACAGAGGTACGGTAGATGCCCAAGAAACCTCTGGGCATTTCCAGGTTATGCTCAATCCCTCAGCCACATTCAGGTAGTCTTTTGGTAATACAAAGGTCATCAGAAAAATAAGTATTTAGCAGGCTCCCTGAACATCCCTCCAAACCAGTTCCAATTATCCAGATAGAATTGGCACCCACAGGGAAAAAAAAAAAAGAGGGCAGGGGTGGGCCATGCTCACCTGGACCAGGTTGGCAGCGATGAGCTCTGGTTTAACTTTACAGTACTCAAGGAGCCGCCCCACACCTTCCATCCGGGACTGGAACTCCTTGGCCTCCAGCAACCTTATCAGCTCCCGCAGCTGCTCCACCATTTCCATATCACCCCGCACGGAGGAGCGCAGCCCCGTCAGTCGTGGGCCATTGCAGCCAAACCTAGGTGGAAGCAGGGGCTGACCCCTGGGGAAGAGCCCAGGGGATGAACACACCTCCTGCCCCATGCCCCATCCCATTGCCAGGTAGAGCAGAAATAGCAGTGTCACGTGCAGCTTAGTCCAACCCCAGCTTCTCCTCTAAATGCTGCTTAAGGATACTGGTCTTGGAAACTCCAGGAGTCTCTTTTCCTCAAGAGACAACAGCATGATCATCTAGGGTCCCATCCTCTGATCAACAGGCAGGGCTCCCTTTTCCTGACTTTCACCCTCTCTTTTCAGAAGACATGTAAATAATTGCAAGTAAGAAAGATTAAAAGTGAGGGTATATCATGTGAACATGACTGACATGTGTGTGTGTGTGTGTGTGTGTGTGTGTGTGTGTGTGTTGCTAAGGATGGAACCTGGGTTCTCATGCATGTTAGACAAGTACTCGCCACAGAGAAGCATATCCCAGCCCCCGTCCAGCAGGGTACATTTAATCTAAGAATAGAGTAAGAGTCAAGATTCTAGAGTTTACCACACCCCATCTCTGTCTGGTACCCACATCCTGCACCTTGTTGACAAGGCTTTCTCACACTCCTCCAAGAACAGGAAGTATGCTGAGAAGCCCTGCTCCCTTTCATTTGAATCACATGTCTATCAGAGCCCCTAGACTATTCCAGGCCAGCATTACAACAGCTCCACACAGGACACATAGGACTCACAACTAGTTCAATACTAGGGTCACTAACTGATTCTGCTCTATACCAAGTCCCACCCAACAGGTTCCAATGCCATCCATTCTGTCCTTTGTTCCTGCTTCTCACATTCTTGTTACTGAATACCAAGAGCTATGCTGGGTCATGAAAACAAAGAGATGAGAAACAGTCTTTGCCTTAAGCATCTCACAGATGGATAGGAGACAGAACAGGTGGTAGGTGTGCAGCATAAGCAAAAGCACGACACAGCAGAGAGAGAAAGGATGAGGAAGGGCAGGGGCTGGGGGCTGATCTGGTCTGGTGAGAGAGGGTGGGTAGGAAAATACAGGAAGTTACTGCTGAAGAGGTGGGCAGGACCTTCCCCAGCATCCTGCTAAGGTTGGCTGTGATCCTCCCAAGACGTGGCAAGATGGTTTAAATGTCAAGCAGACGATTCCTGTTTGGCATTTTACTGTTCCAAGCACCCACCCTCCAAGACTCAGGCCAGGTCTTTCTTGTCTGCCTGTGTTCCAGCCCTGTCTCTGAACTAGTCCCAGACTGGCCAATCTGGTAACTAAAAGACATACTGATCTAAGTGAACAAAAGGATGCTGAGCTTACACAGAGAGCTCAGCCAACAAGTCCCAGCTATACAGGCAGAATCACGTTCTCTCAGCCAAGACTACAGGAATTACCCTCTGTGGGCAGGTGCTGCCAAGCCCACGATTTGGTCTGCTGAAGATGTGTGTGAGAGAATGCACCCTATAAGTTTATTTATGAGAAATGCAAACCCCAGTCCACAAGCCACCCCAGAGCAGCCCCTGACCATAGATAAGCAAGACATCTCCATTGGCAGCTTTGACAATGGAGCCACAGGGACATGAGAGCAGCCATACCCCTCATCACTTGGCAGCCCATTCTCACACACCACCAGACTCTTCAACACCTTGTGGCCTTTGGCAGATGGAAGTTCATGATTATCTTGTATTCCCTTAAGAAACAAACAGAGAAGATGAACCAAAAGGGGTGGCCTGACATCATAACAAAAGGGCTAAAGCTTTCCACCTGGAAGTGCTTCCTGGTCACAATCCAAAGCCCTGGAATTAGCTGAGCAGAGATCAAGATCTCCACTTAACACGTGAAGGTGGGAGGCCCTGGAAGTTTGAGGTGCACAGGGGTAGACTCAGGTATGGGCACTGAGGACAGAAAGCACATTTAAGTCCCTTGTCAGGAATCATGATGAAGTGGGAGCCTCTGGGCTCCTGATCCACTCTCCTGACCCACACAAGGGCTGCCAGGCTCTGCCAGCTGCATTCCATTGGCTCACCCTCTGTCTAATGGCCGCCATGACTTTCCGCAGGTCATGAGACGGGAGGGACTGCTTCAGAAATGCATCAAATTTTGCATTGGTCATCAAGATATTCACCATCTTCCGGCCATAAAATCTGCCATAGGAGAAACAGCAAGATGAAGAAACAGTCACCGAGAGGCCCAATAAATTCACTCTACAGCTTTATACAACTTTCCCAATTACAGTGGGAGAGGTTTGCATACTTCTAATTAGGAAAGCAAGCCCTACATAGTTAAAAATTAGATTCATAAAAGAATAAACATCATCCATAATGCCATTACCAAGAGAAAATCACTATTAAATTTTTATATATTTCTTTAGTCTTTTTTCTATGCATTTACATTTTAATGGATATCAGAATACATAGGCAACTTGCTTCCAGTCTTTTCACTTTCTTATTAATCATCTTATTAATCATTGAATATTCTTCAAAGCATCCTTTTTAATAGCTACCCAGTATTCTGGATGGCTATACCAATATGTCCCTAACATTTTTCTAGTTTGGGACACTTAGAAGTCTATGGAAGGGTACACTGGAAAAATATAGAAGGGAATAAATAGTCAACTCTACCTGTAAGTAGTGCTGGCTGGGGACAGGAATCAAAAGGCTTCATGTAAGAGGCAACCCTTGGGTTGGGACTCAAAGGATGAGTACAAGTTCATAAATGGGGTGGGACTAGGAAGTAAGGAGGAGGAGGGTCATTCTAGAACCTACAACATAGTCTGACACAGCAGCCAGATACAGTTACAGAATATGAGGCGGAACATAAGGAGAGACTAGACAGAGGGGGGGGGTGCCACCTGCTTAGAGCCATGTGAAGGAGCTGGGCTTTGGCCTGCAGGCAATGGAAAGCTAAGGAAGGGCCAGATACTCATGTTAGTCCAAATGTCTCTGGCAAGAGGGTGGGTCATGGGGAGCAAGACTAGGGGTTTGAAAGAAGGAGAATGGGGATAAGGGCAATCAGGTTCCAGAGGTGGCAAAGGGGTTGAAATCGCAGGATTTCAAAGCTGGTTGGAGGCGGAGCAGGAAGCATCTAGAATGTCTGCACTCCATCCAGTCTAAGACTGTTGATTCTAAAATGCATCACTACCTTATTTTCCACTAAGTAAAAACAGGACAAGAAACTGCGGACAATTTCCACTGCCTTCAGTGCCACTGCCACCCGAGGAACAGAGGTCATGTGACTTGTGCTCTTTTCCTTCCTTAGAGCAAGTGAAGTTCTTACTTTGCAAGAAAATGTGGAATTTTGATCATCCCTGCCACATGAAGACTTGCTTTATTGATCTCATTGAGGCCCTACTGCTATACATAACTTTTTATTACTGCAACTTTTCATTTCAGTGCCAAATAACAGTATAACATTTCTAAGACATTTTAAATAGGAATTAACTCAACAATTCTCTGCAGAGCACCCAAAATGACTTTCAAAAATAAACAGTTGACAAGCAAAGAAAAGCTCTAAGCATAGTTCCTACAGTGCAATCTTTAATTCACAAGTTTATACAAGGAGCCTCAACAACCAAATCTGAAAATGTACAAATAGTAAAACCCAGGTAATAATCGCTGGCTGGCCCACAGCAGCTGTGAGAGGCCTCGAGCTGGAAGATACATATGTGCCAACTTCAAAGATATTGCAATGTGGGGGGGGGGGCATGTGTCTGGGATTCAGTAAAGAATGGGAGCATCTATTTTGCACTTGGGCGAGTTGGTAAATAACAGCAACATTGAACAACAGAGGGAACACAATCTGAGAAGCAAGTTTGGGAAAGCAATGAGATCCTTTAGGGACACTTTGTACTGAAGATGGCAGTGGGAGATGCAGGGATGGGTCCCCTGGAGGTATTAGAGGTAGGAGGCTGATGCCCAAGAGGGTAGGTGCTAGAAGGAAATACTGGAAAACTGCAGTTTGCTGATGGTGGGAGAGCCAGAGAGGAGGAGGAGAGAAGATATGATGGTTAGTGGGTTTTCTGTTTATTTTTGCTTCTGTTTTAAATATTTTTAGTGATTCTTTGAGAATTTCATACAATGTATTTTGACCTTATTCGGATCCCGTCCCCAATCTCCTCTCAGATGCACCCCCACATCCTCAACCCCCTTGCTTCATAATCATTATTATTTTTGTTATATTTTATTTATTTGTATTTTATGTGTATGAGTGTTTTGTCTGAATGTATGTAACTATACCACATGAGTGCAGTGACTGTGGAAGAGAGGAGAGCACATTGGATCTCCTGGAACTGGAGTTACAGATGGTTGTTAGCCACCATGTTGGTGCTAGGAACCAAACTTGGGTCCACTGCAAGAGCAGCCACTGCTCTTAACTGCTAAGCCATAACTTTATCTCTCAATTATTTTTTAAGGACCATCAAGTCTAATTTGTGTTCTCCAAATGCTATTGGGTATGGGTCCATCCCCTGGAGTACAGTCAACATACCCAGCATCACACTCTTAAAGAAAACTGACTCTCTGTTTCTCTCCCAGTATCTATGAACTGCCAAAAGTTTCTCAGCTATGGCTGGGGCTCCTTGCCAACCTCCCCACTCCATCCTGGGATTTTGGCTCCTGGCTCTGACTTGTGTATCCTGTCACAGTGCTGTTGGGTTCATATGTGCAACTATCCTGTTATGTCTGGAAAACAGGATTTCCTTGTATTTATCCACCACCTCTGCCTCTTATAATCTTTCCACCCCCTCTTCCACAATGATCCCTGAGCCTTGGGAGGAGAGGGTATGATATTGATGCCCCATTTAGGACTGAGCACTCCACAATCTCTTATTTTCTGCATGTTGACAAATTGTAGGTCTCTGTGTTAATCAACATCTGCTGCAAGAAGCTCCTCGAGTGTGAGTTTAGAGATTCGTTAATCTGGTAGGTCTGCGGTTGCACATGTGCCACACGATCCCGCTGGAGGTGGCAGTGGCAGAGGGAGGGTTAGCTGGCTGGTGGGACTTGGGGAGGGACTCTGAAGGGACTCTGGCAGATGGGGGGGGGATCTTGAGGGTACCATGCTGTGATGATTAGTTTTAATTGTCAACTTGACACAATCTAGAATCATCTGGGAAGGGACGCTCAATGAGAAATTGAACCATGGCATGCCTGTGAGGGGTTTTCTTAGTTGGGTCAATTGAGGTGGAAAGACCCCTAACTAAATGTGTGTGGCACCATTTCATGGACTGGGTGGGCCCAGGACTGAATGAAAAGGACAGAGCAAGCTGAGCATGTGCATGCATGCATTAGTTCACTACTCCCTGCTCTTGACTGCAAACGCAGTGTGACCAGCTGCTTCAAGTTCCTCCTGCCTTGACTGCCCCAAAATGATGGACTATATAACGGGGAATCGTGAGCTAAAATCCACCACTTCTTCCTTAAGTTGTTTTTGACAGCATATTTTATCACAGCAACAGGGAAATATCCTAAGACAGAGGACTAAGGACATTCCACAACCGCCTCTATTCAGATGACAGGCAGGATGGAGAAATGGTCCCAAGGGGCAAGGAGAAGCAGGAAGTACAGTTACTTGGAAACCAGGAGGCACAGGGTACCAAAAAGGAAAATGTAATGTAGCCAGTGTCATCCAGGGAGGAATATTAAGTCTTAGAGAGATGCTAGGTCTTGATTTCCATCTCTGAAAACAGTCCTCTCCAATATTCTTCCTTTCAGTGAACAATACAACCATTGACCCAGCTGTTTGGTTTAAAGCCTAAGGGGCATCTTTGATGTGTTTTTGAAACCCTCACCACCTATTGGCTCTGCCTTCAAAACAAACCTAATGCCACCCCTCTCTTCTGGTCCCAACCTCCAGTCCCTCTTGCCAGGTGCTGCTCCCCTCCAACTTCTCCCATTTGAGCAACCAGAAGTATTTTAATCAAAATGCTAGCAAGTATGTGAATAAAAAAGTCATTAGTAATGAAGAAAAGACATTGAAAGAATGGCAAGTCGTCACTGTCCCTACACAGCTCTCCCTGACCCTCAGCTTCAGGCCACTCCACTCCAATCTCCATCCATCTCAGCTTTCTCTTTGTCCCCCTTATCTGTTTCTTAAATGCTCGTTGTATTTATTCATCTATGTGTCTTCTTCAACTAGGAGGTAAGCTTCAAGACAACGGGGGCTTAATTTTCCTTATTCATTGTTGTATCCATAATAGTGAAAAGAGCACTCAGTAAACACCTCTTGCAAAAATAAGCTGACCAATCTCATCAAGAAAAGCCCTGGGGCAGGTGGACACAAGAGCCACATTGCAAGGAGGGGAGGGAAGGGAAGTTAAAGAGGCACTGACCACTGCCTAAACAGGCTGGCTCTGATGCTTCGGAGGCAGCAGCTAACAGGAAAGGATCCAGCCTCCATCCATCTATCTGTCCCTCTGCAAAACCCTGAGAAAGCTGAGCTGTGAGCTGTGGCACCAGGCCCTGATGGGTACCTAGTTACCTTGGCCATACCTGGGCCTGAGTCCTGCCCTACCTCGTGTCCTGGTTAGAGTCCTGGGCCAACCTCACCAGGTTGTGCACCAGCATGTCTGTGTTGTCCCTGGTTCCTGAAAGAAGTTTCTCAGCTCCAATCTGCTCCAGGACAGCAGAAAGATGCTTGGCAGTGCATTTCCGGACTAAGGGGTTCCGATGGCTGAAAAGAAACACAATCACAGCCAAGTGGTCGGTCACAGAGTAAGGGTTTGGAGGCCCCAGACTAACATACACACAGAGCTAAGATTGTAGACTGCAGACCTATGTTCATGCCAACCATGGCTTTAAAGCCTGTCCTCTGTGAGCTGGGGGTGTCTTTGAGGAAACAGTAGTCAGTTCCTGATGATGGCTGAAGGTGACCACGGGGACATGCAGTGAGACGATGTTCCCTAAATGGGCCTGTGTATACACAGGGCCTTCTTGAGCTAAAGTCATCCTGTCCACACATGTGTGTCCCAATCTTTCCTCAACTTAGGAAAACCCTTCCCAATCAATGTCTCCTTCTCCCAGTTCCACAGGCACAATCAAGCGTCTCCTCTGAAGTGGCACCTGCTTGGTCCCTTGGTAAATACAGTTGCACCCTTATACCCTAGCCCCTCAGTCAGGCAGCTAGCCCCCTGGGAGTAGGTGCCATGCTGACTCTCTGTTGTGTCACCCTGGTTCCTGCTGGTGTTCAGCACATGCCTGTTATTTAGTGAGAGTTTAGCACACATTTGTGCAACTTAACTGGGTGATTTGGTCATTGCAACAGGTAGAACCTGAACTCTGATAAGAGAAACCCGTCATGGTGTCAACTTCTTTCAAGCAGGGCTTCTATGTCCACAGCTCATCAGACAGCACTGACACCACACACACGCTTACACACACATACAAGAACATACATACACACACACACACACACACACAGTGTCCCACATCAATGGAACACGTAAAACTCTCCTCACTCAGTGTAGCCCATAGGCCTATGCTTTGGAAGCTAAAGCTGAATGTACATGTTAGCACAGGAGATCCAAACATACGAGCCCTGTTATGGGCTTCTAAAGGACACATGACCTGGTTCTTATTGACAATGATCAATTATTATACCCCCTGTGTCAGGCACTGTGCTGGCTCCTTTTACCCATCATCTCCCATCAACTCCATGAATTACTACTATCATTCTGCAGATGAGGACACTAAGGCAAAGGGAAGAATCTACAAAAAGCACCATTTCTCCCAAGGTCATTCAGCCACAACCAGTGCTCAGTAAATGTTAGGTAAGGTTCTAAAAACTGTCTCTGGAGCCATTCACTGATTCCTCAGAACTACCTCGGGTGATGGGCACCATTATTATCCCCATCAATGAGGAAACAGAGGCCCAGAGAGGGGACCCCACTGCAGGATGTGAACCCAGGCAGTGGGGTTTGGGAGTGGCTCACATTTCACAATAGATAGTGAGGCAATAGCCAGGATCTGCTGGCCAACACAGCAGGCCCTAGATCTGCTGAGAAGCAGGTGCCACAGTGTGATGACTGACTTACAAGGGCAGAGAGGTGTTATTGCTCTGTGGGAAGAGGGGCTTGGAAAATGCCTTTGGTTTTGCTGTTGGGTTGTGACATGAGGGGAAGTAAGTTGGGCTCTAACAGTAACCCAATCTCCTCCCTCATGAGAGAGGCCAGCTTTGCTCCTGGCTGTCCTCACTGGTTCTACATTTCATCAGAAAAAAACATGCTCTCCTGGGAGAGATAGGAGCCCCTGAGGCACAGCTGAGGCTACCTCTGCAGCCTTGTCTCCCAAGCATTACCATGGTCACCATGCACGTTCCCCAGTCTGTGAAGAAAAACAGCACTCCCCCTTCCAGTCAAACTCAGCCCATTCTCTCCATCCTGGCCTAGAAAGGGTAGCAGGAGCCCTCTCAAACCAGGATCTTTCTCCCCCACATTTGCTATGAAGCCTGCAGTAGGCACCTTCAGCACCCTGACCCCCAACATCCCAAAAACCCTCTGTAATGCAGTTTCTGCTTCCTTCCTCCCTGTCCCTTTCTCCCATTCTTCCATGTTCCTTTCATACTCCAAGTCCTCGCCCCTGACACACACCCCAGACAGCAGGCAGCACATACTAGACACCCGCAGAGGTGAGGGCCCCCAGGGCACGAGCAGGGGTGACGTTTTCCACCATGGCACCCAGGGCCCTGTTGGCTGCACGCTGAATGAACTCGCTGGTGTTCCCCATCTTCTGAAGAAGGCAGCGGGTGATCTCTTCAGCCTCCTGGTCCATGTTCTTCTTTAAGGACCGGAAAAGGTCTCCCAGAGTACTGATGGCCAGGCGGGACACCTTAGAGCGGAGATTAGTGACCTTGGAGAGAGAGGAGAAGGGACCTCCAGGATGGTTGGACCTCCCCAAGGGCTCTGAATACATACAAGATGGATACTAGGCTGACTCCCCTCCCATCTTCTCACCACCCCAAACCCCCACCCTCATCTTTGACCATACTAGAAAAGAGAACCTTTCCATGTCCTTGGGTAGAACAGCCTCATTTTGTTATCATAACTATTAATTCCATCTTCATCATTGTCTGAAATTTGCATACTTGATCTGCAAAGTGCATGCTATATTTCAAATCAGAATATTTCCCACAGGTTATAGCCCCACCCCTGGTTCCAGATCAGCTTTCCACTAGTTGTATCTACCATCAATCATATGAACAAGCTGCACCTCATACTCCAACTGCCATGAATAGAACCCTTCTCACTGCCATGCCTTCTGCACCATGATGAACTGAAATTTCTCAGAAACATGAGCCAAAATAAATCTTTCCTTAAGTGTTTTGTCATAGTCATGAGAAAGGAGCTAGTTCAGCACATTTACAAAACCTGTCCACTTTATTCTTCACAGCTACTAGAAGACCTATGACACTCATTTTGCAAAGGGAGACACCAACCCTCAACCACGTGACACCTCCAGCCTGTGTCAACACATTGTCTTCTGTCTGTATTCATAACTCACCTACCCTCACTAGAGCAGCCAGTTCCCAAGGGTGTGGACTAGCCTCTACAGGGATCAAGCTCATGTTACTGCCTTTCAGAGTGGAGCTTAGGCTGATCTCCATGCAGGCCTTAGAAAATGCTACACAGCCCAAGGTTGGAGATCAAGTCCAGAACATTCCATCCTTCCTCAGGTATTTTGAATTTATAGGACAGCAGAGGTTGTGACAAATGAGCAATGTGACTTCAAATGTTTCAATTCCCAAAGATAACAAATAAAGAAACCCCAGGTCTCAGTGTTCCAATCTAAAGGACAGGTGATAACTGGAGGCTGAGAGATAAAATGGCTAATGCTCTTGGAAGCCACAGACGCTTGTGGTTTCTGTGTAACTCACCTGAGCAGCTGCACAGGGAAGAGGGAGTGGACTGGGGGATCTGGCAAAGCACACAAGCTATGGGGAGGTCTCACCTCCACGGTTACTGCCAAGGACACATCATGCAGCCTCGCACCAAGGACCTCCGAGTGACAAGCTGCCAGGCGCTGGATGCTCACCAGGCCCTTCTCCTTCATCTGCCTGAGAAGAAAGGCCAGGCCTGTCACGGGAGGGAAGGAGGAAGGAGTCCTGTTCCTCTGCAGACAACCCCCAGCAGGGTGCAAGTCCCTGGCCTCAGGGGCAGGGCTTCTGGGGTGTCACCAGGCCTGGAATCCTAGCAGCTCAATACAAGCTGTTTTATGGGCTCCTGGCTAGCCCTCCCCTCTGGGAGTGCTGGGATCTGAGCCACCCAGGACACATTTGGTCCTTTGATACAAGGTGACACCTTCGAGAGGATACTGTAAAGTGAGGCTGAGGATGGGGAAGGCCTCTGTGAGTGTTCTGGGCCCCAAGTCATCACTTCAGTCATGACTGAGATCTTATGTCCCATTCGTGTAGTGGCAGGACACTCCTATAAAACTTGATTTAGATGGAGATTAGCTCTGTTAGAAGAATGCTTGCCTAGCCCTGGATTTAATTCTCCCAGCACTGCAAAAGTAGGGCATGGTGGCACACACGTGTCATCCCAGCACTCAGGAGGCAGAGGCAGGAGGATCAGAAGTTCAAGGTCATTTTCAGTGCATTCAAGGCCAGTCTGGAATACATGAGACCCTGTATCAAAACAAATAAATGAACTCAATTTAGATAAATAAAACTGTGACCTTCCCCCACCTCTATATTTCATAATCAAGTTCCTAACTAGCTGTGCCTGGCTCTGGCATGTCACAGAACAGTGAAAGGGCAACTTAGAAGGGCCCAGGGCATGTACAAGAAGTTAGAAGCACTACATACATACACCCACACATGTGTGCATGCATGCATATGCATACACACTTCTAAAACAGTAGAACCCAGGGTTGGAGAGGAGGGCAGTTGGGGGCAGGAGCTCTTCTGCAACCCTCCTAATTAGCTCAACCCCCACATAACCCAGGCCACACAGGGAAGGCGCCTCCTCACCAGTCATTTCTGTTGAGGCACTGGAGGGCATCTGTCAACCCCACCTCTGGGTTGGAGAAGGGCCTCAACTCCCTGAAGGCTCTCAGATCCATCTCCTCTTCCTCTTCCTCCCACTCAGGAGAGCCCAAGGTAAGCACAGCAGGTAACGAGTTAGCTGCATTCAATGGAGAAAAACAGCAAGCTTCACCCAGGAAGACAAGTAAGCAGCTATTCATTCAAACCCTCAGGTGTCATGCCTGGTCCCCCCATGCAGGCCACCACGAAGAAAGAAGGACCTAGATATGCAAAGCCAGAACCTGGGCCTCACCTCCACTTAACTTTCTACCAATTGTTCATGCCAGTGAAAACTCTATTGTTATAAACACATTGGCCCAGACTGCTTGGTGTCAGTCACATAACAAAGCCCACTGTGTCTGTGACTCAGCCCCAGTCTTTTCCCACCTTGGTTGGGATGTGGCCCAGTGAGTCACTGAAATGCTCCCTACTCAGTTGATGGTACTCTGATCGTGCTCCCACCCATGAGCCTCCGCTCCTTCCGTCCTAGCATCCCTCCTCTTGTGAGGTTGCCTGAGCATGAAAGCACTGATAGGCAGGTGGCTGAAGGAAGGCAGAGGGGCGGTGAAAAGCTCTGGAGGAACAGGGAGGAACTCCAGAGATGTGCCCACAGCTCTTCCTCCAGCATGCAGCCAGGACAGCTCTTTGACATGTCTCCCTTCCTGGCTAGTTCTATTCTGAGGTTTACCTGGTTCTCCATCCCTAGAAGGAGATCCTGGGTCTGGGTATGTGATTGTAATTTTGCGTGCGTGCATGTGTGTGTGTGTGTGTGTGTGTGTGTGTGTGTGTGTGCGCGCGTGCGCACAGTGTTAGAGATTGAGCCCATGGCTTTCTAACATGCCAGGCAAGCATTCAACCAACTGAGCTACAGCATCAGCTGTCTCTACTTTTTATTTTAAGTCAAGGTCTCACTAATTTGTCCAGGCTAGCCTTGGACATGCAACCCTCCTACCTCGGTCTCCAGAATAGCTGAGATTATAGGCCTGTACCACCACCCCCAGCTAGTGGTGAGCACATCTAAGCAGAGAGATAGCCCTTTTCTTAAACCAAGTCACAAAGACCTCCTTCCTATTAGCCTGTCCTGAGGGCATGATCCTGCAGGCCTCCCTGTCCTTCAGAGGCAACACAGACATGAATTACATATGGTCTGTGACGCTTTTGAGAAGTACTGGTCCATTCAGGGGCAGGAGCAAGTCAGCCGGTTCTACTACCCTCCCTACTTACACACACACACACACACATAGGACCCCACAGGGGCCACTCCAGCATCTAGTCTCTAGAGTTTGTGTTGACTTTATCTTAGCCTGCCACTCCCATAAAAGCTTTTCAACAGTGTTCCTAAGTATGTCTTGCCACAAGTGGCCCAGGAATTTCCATTCTCTGCACACACACATGCAGAAGGAACTAAGGAGACACAGCTGAGCTGATCTAAATGCACCTGGTCCCCTGAGAAAGGCTAGAATCTCATGAGGTTCATTAGGAAGGCTAGGACAATCAAGTGTTCAGTCCTGAAATCCCATCATTTCCAGGGAGACCAAAGAGTTGGTGCAAGTGTAACTGATGAAGCAACTGAAGCAGTGCTATGGTGGTTGTCAAGAGAAAGAAGAGGATTGCGGTTCAAGGTTCAAAGTCAGCTCCAGGGAGGTCATAAGAGGAAGATGTGGCCTTTTCTTTTTCAATATTTTATTTATTATTTTTATTTTATGTGTATGCATGTATTGCCTGCATGTAGGGAAGTACACCCATGTCGTGCAACGCCTACAGAGGACAGAAGAGGCTACCGGATCCCTGGAACTGGAGTTACAGACAGTTGTTAGCTGCCATGTGGGTGCTGGGATCCGAACCCGGGTCTTCTGCAAGAACAACCAGTGTTCTCAACAACTAAGCCAATTCTCTCTCTCTCTCTCTCTCTCTCTCTCTCTCTCTCTCTCTCTCACACACACACATTCTAGGGATCAATCCCAGGGCCTTGTACATGCCAGGCAAGTGCTCTATCACTAAGCTAAATCCTCAGCCCACCATAGCTCTTAATTGCCTATAATTTTAACTTACTTTTTACTTTCCTTCAAATTAAGCCTCTTTCTAAATCCTAAATAAATTTATTTTAAAGGAAATTTTATGTCCCTACCTTAATAAGTAAAGTACTGTTACTAGTCATATACTAGGATGTTTACAGTAAAAGGAGAATAATATTTAAACCCTTAGCTATAAAATTTCAGCTAGCCTCTAAAGTCTTTGAGCTTAAACATGGATCTCTTTGTTAAAACAAGAAAAAGGTGAAGGTAAGCATGGTGGTACACACCTATAACCCCAGCACCTGAGAGACTGAGGCAGGAGGATCAAGAGTTTGGGGCCAGTCTGGGCTACGTATAGACACTGTTATACAAATGATGATGATGACGATGACGACAACGACGATGATGATGGCGATGATGACGATGATAATGACTGATGCTAAAGACTAGTCCCAAATTAAGGCTTTCTGTTTGACAGTCAAAAAGATAGACTGAATGGAAAAGGGAGGTGATTCAACATTATTTATATACTAAAACTAGGCTTTAGTCAGCGGACATTATCTACTACATCACACTGAAGGAAACTCTGAATCAGATGGACTATTTTCAGTTTTTTTAGTAACAAAATCTGTTCAAATTAAGCCTCATTTGAATGCCTAGTCTACAAAAAAAAAGTGAGGCAAAATAGAAGCTCTTCTGGAAGAACTGGACAGAACTCCCCCTGGTCCTTTGGTACCTTCTCTAAGACCTGCAGATCCCCTGATCCCAATCTTCAACCAGCTAGCCCTGACATTTTGCAGCCACAAGCAGGCATCCAAGCTCTTCCCAAATATCCCATTCTCCAAAATCCCACTTCTACCCCCATAGCCTACTTCCCAGGCATTTGCCAGCATCTTTGGTCCTGGTATACCAGTGACTCCTTTAGAACATGTCAAGTCAGCTGGCAAACCTAGATGTGACACTGTGGGCCCCCTAGCCTGGCCCACAGATGATTATGAGTCCCAGACACTGGTTCTCTTCCTAATAAGGTGACCCCTACCCTACCCACCCCCCAAGTTGAACATGAGCAGCAAGCCAAAGACAAGCAGCTGAGGTACCCACTTCTTGTGCACCAAGACATTCTGAGGTGGCACAGGCAGAGGAGGTCTGAACCTCACCTGATGCGTGGCGGGCAAAGCTGGGTTCCTGCTTGCTGACGGGGATGCTGGGCAGGGAGGCTCGGTTAGCCCGCTTCCTCGGGATGACGCCAACGTTGTTTCTGCGTGGGTTGCTCAAACCAGTGGGCACAGACAAGGTTCCACTGCCTCGAAGTGGAAGGAGGCCTATGGAAAAAGTCCTAGACTGAGCAGGTCCTCTGTCCCTCTGACCCCAAGGTCCTGTGGAAAGGGGAGCATCAGCGGGTGGTGAGAGACAAGGGCATGACTCCCTACCCTGTCTCAGGATGCAGAGGGTGGGAAGCTGTGGGCAGCCCATCTTTTGGAAATCTGAGCGACTAGGAGTTGACCAGAAGGCTTCCCCAGTGCACCAGTACCTTCCTTCACTAAGGTTCTCTGAGGCTCAGTGCCCTGGGAAGCCAGCTCTCGCTCTGGCTCCGCCTCTGCCTCCTTTGCCCTCCGAAGCAGTTCCATCTCCTTCAGCTGCTTCAGTCGCATCTTTTCCTGGGCAGACTTGGAAATGGTGACTTGGATCTAGCACAAGGTCAAGGAAAACTCTAATGACCTTGGGAACCCCACCATTTTTTCTATACCTTCAGTTCATTCATTCAATCAAACAAGAAAACTGTTGCAGGAGGGATAAAAAGAGCAAGTCCTGGCCCCCAAAGAGCTTCATGGAATGGTGTGGGGAGAGAGTCCTGGCCCCCAAAGAGCTTCATGGAATGGTGTGGGGAGAGAGTCCTGGCCCCCAAAGAGCTTCATGGAATGGTGTGGGGAGAGAGTCCTGGCCCCCAAAGAGCTTCATGGAATGGTGTGGGGAGAGAGTCCTGTGTCCTAAGAGCTTCATGGAATGGTGTGGGGAGAGAGTCCTGGTGTCCTAAGAGCTTCTCGGAGATGGAGGGGACAATAAATAGGCCAATCTGACATATCATATAAGATATGCTAGTTAAGTGTGGTGGCTCATGCCTTTAATCCCAGCACCCGGGAGGCAGAGGCAGGCAGATCTCTGTAAGTATGAGGCCAGCCTGGTCTACATAATTAGTTCCACGTCAGATAGGGCTACATACCCTGTACATACTCCATCTAAAAAATATATTTATATGCTAAAAGAAAAGTAGAAAGACAGATGATGGTGGCTTTGATAAGAAAACCCTTTAAACAAGGGACTCCCTTCAGTGAACTGTGAATGAAGACACAAATGAAGAGAAGTACCAGGCCACAGTCTAGGAGAGAAATGTTTTAGCAGAGGAATGACTGCAAAGGCCCTGAGGTTGGAAGGGCCCAGCTTGGGTGGAAACACTCCGAGTCAAAGCAGGGATAAGCCACCAGGACAGGAGGAGGCAGGATCCAGCTCACACTGATTCTTACAGCCCATGACAAGGGCTTAGGCTTTTCCACAGAAGGACACAAGAAGCCATTTAAGGTCTTGAACATGACAGGACAGGATCCAGCTTCCATTTGAGGAAAGCAGCTTTTCCAAGTGCTGGACTTTCATAACATTTTAGTTTGAAAAAGATTGAGACTCATAAGAAGTTATAAAAGTGGTAGCCTGGAGCAGGCTCAGTGGTTAAGAGTGTGTTCTGCTCTTCCAGGGGACCAGAATTCAGTTCTCAGCAGCCATGTCTTGTGGCTCACAACCGCCTATAATTCCAACTTCAGGGATTCCAATGCCTTCTTCTGATCTTTGCAGGTACCTGCACACATGTGGCATTCACTCACACAGACACATACAACATACACATTAAAAAATTAATATTAAAATTGGGGAGTCAGGCATGATGATACATGCCTTTAATCCCAGCACTCAGGAGGTAGTGACAGGCAGATCTCTGTGAGTTCGAGGCCAACCTGGTCTACACAGTGAGTTCTAGGCCAGCTAGAGCTACAGGGAGACCCTGTCTCAAAAAAAGCAAAAAACAAACACACAAAAATAATAAAGGAGGCAAGGCTCAGGGTTAAGAACCCTTGCTGCTCTTGCAGAGGACTTGGGCTCAGCTGCCAGCACCCACATGGCAGCTTCCAGCTGTCCATAACTCCAGTTCCAAGGGATCCCACACCCTCTTCTGGCCTCTGAGGGAAGCAGGCAGGTCCATGTACAAATATACATGGAGGAAAAATCTTCATACACATAAAATAAAAATAAATCTTTTTAAAAAAAAAATAAGTTGTAAAAATGGAACAAAGAGCTCTGTATGCCCTTCACCTAGCCTCCTCCAATGATGCTATCTTCTGGAACCATACAACAAAGACTTCCATTTCCCAATGACTGTGCTGACTGTTGCATAGGAAGAATGTAGAACAGGTGGGAGCATAGAGAACCATTAGGGGATAACAGTTTGAGGCAAGGTGAGGATGGGGGTGGACCAGGGCTCATGGGCATGGGGACAGTGAAGCAAGCAGTCTGTAGGCATGCTTTATGCTTCACACATAGAGCTAGTTCTGCCAATCGATAAGGTATGGGGAGAAAGAGGAAGTAGCCAAGGGTAGGACCAAGATCTGGGGTCTGGGCAGTTAAAAGGATGGAGTTGCCATTCACTGAGTGGAAACACTGTGAAGTAGGGATTCAAAAGTTGAGTTTTAGATATGGTAGGTTTGAAATCTAATTAATTAGATATCAAGTGGAGATACTGGAGGTCAGGGGAAGGTGGCTGGTGAGGGCTTTGAGCATCTTTAGTCTAGACACAGTACCTAGCATCAAGTACTGGAGCACATCTTCTGGGGTAACCAAATAGCCCAGAGGACAGAGGACCAAGCCCTGGGGACATCCTGTCTAGAGGTTAGGAAGATGGAGGGGCCCACAGGGGAGGCAAGGAATGAGCTGCTGAGAGCCAAGACAGAGTGCCCCCTTCTCATCTCTGTCCCTAGGTAGAGAATTCAAGAGGGCTGCATCGCAAGCTGAGTCAAAAGCTGCTGCTGGGGCAGAAGAAGACTGAGATGTGGCTGCATCTGAGACCTCAGTGGGGCAGTGGGAACTAGAGCTGCCAGCCTGAGGCGCACTCTGAAGAGGCAGTAGTTTTGGTTTGCTTTCATCATATAAAGATGAAAAGGCTAATGAGAGCCAGTGGGATGCTTGGGAATGATTCAGTTTCAGGGAAGACCTTACTGCACAGGCTAGAGTTGGAGCACTGGATGGATGGAGCCAGAACAGGAAATGGTGGTAAGTGAGTGGGACCTTGGAGCTCGGATAACGTCCAGGTGCTGCATGGAGGTTGGGTGTGTGACTTGCAATACCAGTTCTGGAGTGAGTGGCTGCGGTGAGTTAGAAGCTAAAGATAAACCATAGAATTTTCAGGTTCTCCCTCGTTAGAATGCAGCCTGTCCCTTGTTACTGTTAATATAGCATCCCTAACTATAACATAACATAGTGCCTGCTCAGGGCAGGCCCTCAAGATCTGTTTCCTGAGCTAAGCTGTTATATCTGTTTCAAAGAATGAGCACAGGGGTCTCATAACAATGACTCTGTAAGTTTAACTAAATTCATCCCAACCAGAGAAAAGAAGTCACCTCCCCAAGGTCACCTTGCAAGTGCAAGGTATTTGTCAGCCTGTCAAGTACAGCTTTGGCCCATCAGCCTCTGAGTCAGCTGCCTCTCAGTTACTATCTTGGGGGTCAGTTCAAATTACTCACCCTGGTTCACCTAAGCCTTCTGTCCTCTTCCCAGCATCCTGCTTCCTTCCAACCCACATATGACCTTCTTCTGTCCTTCCTCCTCCCCTTCCATCTGTGTTCTTGCCTGTCCCCATTCCCCACCATGGTCCTTAGCTCCCTCCTTGTTTCTCTTCCTCTCGGCATCCCTTAACCCCAAATGGTCCACAGGCCCAGACCGTAAGTGTTTGGGGCAGCTGCCTCTATAATTCTTGACTCTGCCTTGTTTCCTACCAGCAGGCCCCACACAGCAGATTCCTGAAGCAAGTTTGCATTTATCCAGTTGGATCTCAACTTCTTCCTCCTCTCTCTTCCCTGATACCTTGGTGCTGGTCCTCTTCTGGTCCTCTTCTTTCAGCAAGGGGTGGGCTTCTTTGGCATGGCTGAAGAAGGAAGCTGTCAGCGTAGGGGCAGACTGTGATGAAGCCAGGGACTTCTCAGGGGCTGCAGCAGACCTGGCTCTGACTGCTGGGACCAAAGGCTTTGGCTCTGAGGAGTCAAGAGCAGGGATGGAGCTGAGGACAAGGGGAACCCTAGACTGTCTCTGAGTCCCTGACCCTATGACTGATGAACTTTACTCTCCAGGCCCTCCACCCTCAGTCCCTCCTGGCTCACACTTCCCTGATGAAGAAGCTATATTTATTCTACAAAGTAGCATTGCCAGAAATGCTGAGGATGGCATCATTCTCCATTCATTCACTCATTCATTCATTCCTTTAAAAAGCAAGCATTACAGAGCTTATTCTAAGATGAAGAAAGAGTCAGAAAACAGGGTCAGGGAGAGAAAAAAATAAAACAAGCCTGCTGACCATTTTATGCCACTCCAACAGAGTTGGGAGGGGCCAGAGAACTTTGGATCATTAGTCCAACCCTCTCATTTCACAGATGGGAACGCTGAGATCTAACAACCTTCAGGTGCCCTTATGATTGATTAATATATAAATTTATGGGTTGGAGACATGGCTCGGCAGTTTAAGAGCACTGGCTGCTCTTGCAGAAAACCTAGCTCAAATCCCAGCACCCACATGGTGGCTAACAACCATCTGTAGCTCCAGTTCCAAGGGATCCGACATCCTCTTCTGGCCTCCATAGGCATTGCATGACATGGGTGCACTTACATACATGCAGGTATAACATTCATATACAAAATAACAAAATAAAATAAAATTTAAATAAAAATAATAAAATACAAATTTATTTTCAAACAATATCAATTCCATAGAATCTCTTTGTCACTCTATATTTTCCCAATCACTGGATTTAAAAGTACTTTTTTTATTGTGAAGGCAGAGATGAGTTCCTTAATTTTCTCCTGCCTATAAATTTGATCACTCACTATCCTTGAGAGACACAGCTAACCAGGGGTCCACTGGGATTGGAGATGCCACCTGGAGATACCAGAGACTGGAAAGGGTACCTTGAGTCTAAGTTTCTAGACAGGCTCCTTGGTCACTGGGTCCTCTGCCTTTATGAAGGGTTCCTCTGCTTGGGGCTAGGAGAAGGATTAAGAGGTGGGGTGACTAGGAGCTAGGAAGTCAAAGGTGGGGCAGACGACACAGTATCAGGAACCAACTGACCAGGACAAGGTCTGCAGGATGCCACAAGATTTGGAACAATAGCAGAATGGCCCCTACTATATGGTATTGGGCAATGTCATCCACAGCAACAGTCACAATGTTCTAAGACTTTATACCTACTTCTTCACCTACACCCCTAAGGAACACCTAGAGAGGCTTGTCTGAGTAGCCTGTCCCTATTCACTGAGCACTAGTGACACGGCCTCCTGGCCCAAACCCCCATGCCAGCCATCTAGCTCATAAGGATGTTTGGCATACTATATGCTTCAATCCAGGCATCCTGAGCTTATTTCACACAGTTGAGCTAGGGAGCCAGGAGAAGCAGCTGCCATTAGGGTATCCCTACGAGGCCTGCCTCTCAGGCCCAGCTCAGTAGCCTGTCCTAGAGCTTGCTAGGCAACAGCCTAACCACTCTTCCAGGTGCCTTGCCTACTGAGCTGATAAGCAAGGGGCCTGCAGGAAGCTACTTACCCTCCTACCAGTCAGCACAACAGCAGCCACCTGCAGCCTGGGCTCAGAGTGCCTCTCAGAGGCTGTGGCCTCTTTCCCCTGACCTTTAAATATTTAATTTATTTTTTTTATTTTATGCGTATGCATGTATTGCCTTCATGTAGGTAAGTGCACCCATATCATGCAATGCCCACAGAGGACAGAAGAGACTGCCGGATCCCCTGGAGTTACAGACAGTTGTTAGCTGCCATGTGGATTTCGAACCCGGGTCTTATGCAAGAACAGCCAGTGCTCTTAACCGCTGAGCCATGTCTCCAGCTCCCTCCCCTGACCTTTAGTACTCACCATAATCCAGCTTCCCTTTATCTCACATGCTCTCCATAGCAGCAGATCATCAGCCGAAGAGATTCCCTTCCACACTCATTCTCCTCCCTTGTCCCTCCGTTCTCTCTCTTCTCTCTCCTCCCTCTTGAAAGCTTCTACCCTTTCCCTACTTACTTCCTGGGGTTGACCCCATTGCCCTGACCTTTGAATCTGCTGGGACCAGCTGACTGAGAGGTTATAAGAGGAGGTTTCCTGTCTCACTCTGTCCAGTGAGGACAGACTTCTCTATCTCCTTAAAACAGAGCAAGAGGCTTGGTGTGTCAGGCCCCTGCTCTGCAGTGGTGTAGCACTGAATGCAAATCTGGCAAGATGGTTTTCTAGACCCTGAGAGTAGAGTGTGTCAGCTCACTGAGCCTCAGTGAGACCTGCATCTGTCAAAAAGGGACAGCACATCTCTGTCGTCTGGGCTACATGAGTTGGTGTGCATCCTGTGCCTGATAGAGCAGACACCAATAAGCACTGCTGCCTTCCTAGTTGCTGGCCCAGGCCTGTCACCACCCTCCAGGTGTAGCAACTTCAGCTTCCCCATCCACCCATGAAGGGCTTGACCTGAGACCCTATAGACCTCCCGTGACCTAATTCCATGACCCAGTTCATGAACACAAAGAACAAACAAGAGGAGTGCTGACAGGAATACATACCCAGAGATTCAGGGGTCTTCTCCAGAGGCCCACTCTCCCGAGTCAATCTTAAAAGAAAGGGAAAGAAAAGAACTCAATGGAAACCAGGAAGTCAGAAACATTAGGGCAAGAAACCCAGGGTTCCTCCATTGTGAGGAGACAGTGAGATGGGGGGTAAAGGGACTGGGTTGGTATCCCAGTCAGAGTGGTAGGAGATGTAGCTCCTTCCACAAGCACAGGGTTGGTTGGATGCTTACCAGACCAGGCCAGGCTGGGAGGCCAGGCACAGCTCTGGGAGGTTCCCTGACTATGTGGTCATCTAGTCCCCAGGCAGCAGCATCCACATGGAAACTGCTGTCCTATACTGGACCCTTTGCCTCTGACTTTACCCTGTTGAGGGGCCTTGGATTTCTCCCCCAAGCCCCTGCTGCCTGTGCTGCCCAAACTAGAGGTTGTAATAGTAGCCTCTTTTTGTAATTGTATTTATTATCTTTATGTGCATATGATGTGGGGGGAGGGTCCATATGTGCTATACGCTCAGGTGGAGGCCACAGGGCAACTTTGTGGAGTCGATTCTCTCCTTCAACCTTTAGATGGGTTCCAGAAATTGAGCTCAGGTTGTCAGGCTTTCATGCCAAGTGCTCTATCCCCTGCCATCTCATTGCCCCCGATACACACTTTTTTTTTAATGTATGTATATGTCATGTATATGCCTTTGTGTATAGGTGTTTGATAGTGTAGAAGTACATGCATGTGGGGGGGGGTGTACATGTGTGAATTGCAGAGAAGCCTAAGGTTGACATCTAGTGTTTTCCTCATCCATCTCCACCTTACACACCGAGGCAGGGTCTCTCACTGAACCTAGAGCTCACTGTCTCGCTAGTCTGGCTAGCCGGCTTGCTCTGAGAATTCTGCCTCCACCCCTCACACACTGGGATTATAGGTGGACCACGATGTCCACCAGTTTTTATGCACTTCTAGGCATCTGCACTGCAGCTCATGTTGTACTGAAAGTGCTCTACCCACTGAGTCATCTCCTCGGCCATATGGTGGCCTTTTGAAGTCATAACTGGTCTTACCCCACACCAAAGAGCCTTTGATGGCATGTCTTTCCTTCAAGATAAAGCCTACCTACTCAGGTGAGAATGTGTGGGTCCCTCAGGCAGGGAAGCATACTCTTTGAAACTTCCTAAATGCCAAATACCAAATGCCTGCCTCTTCTTTTGTTCTCCTGTGAAGCGCTATCCACTCTTCATCTTTCAAAATCCAAGAAATTCTCCCAGCCTTAGATGGTTTTCTACTGAGCTTCCCAACATGGCAGGCAGACATCTATCTCACCTCTGACCTCACTGGACTTGGACTGGGTGCTTTCCACAAAATCTCTCTCATCTCCTGGAGTCTTATTCACCTTGATTTCCAAAGCACCTGACACATAGTAGGTGCTTAATAATTTTTAAGTGACTAAGTGGGTAGACAGGTGAATGAATGAATGAATGAATGAATTATGAATGAATGAATGAATGAATGAATGAGGAGGCAATAAATTAAACTTGCCACCCACTTGATAAACAGCCTCAGAGTCAGTGAAGAGTGATCCAAATTGAAGACAGGTAGCTCAAGGCAGGTATTTACTGTGTGACTAATTGACACCAGCCACCAAACTTAACATCATGGGCTTTTGAGATATGGCCCCTGTCTAAGTTAAAGAATAGAATGAGGTCTAAAACAAGACAAAACAAGTAAAATAAATAAAGCATAGAAAGAAATACTCAGTTTAAGTAGCCAAGATGTGTTAATTAAATCAATAAAATGATGGAAAGGAGGTGGGGTGGCCAGGATGTCATGTGACAGGAGCAGAGGTAGTGACTTTCTGTGCTTGCTGCCCTTGAAAGTCACATAGGATGGAACAGGTGAAGCAGGGGTGAAAGGGCAGAGATGGGGTACCAGAACCAGATGGGGTTAAGAAGCACCACATAGGAAGTGAGGCTCTGGCCAAGGAAACAGCATGCCCGCAGAAGGATGGATGGATTTGTAGCACAGGAAGGCAGTGAGCGTGCCCCGTGAAGGTCAGACCAAAGAGGTTCCTCTCAAAGCTGCTGGCAACAGGAGGTGAATGAAGATAGTCACGGGGGGTTGAAAATGGAAGATGAGGCTGGATGGCAAGGAGCTCATGACAGCAGGTCAGGAGCTCTTGAGTAAAGTAAAAAAGGAGCTGTGAGTGCAAACTGAGAGGGAATAGCAGGGACAAGAATGAGGTGGGGGTTTCTGTGCATTTGTTGTAAGAAGGCATCTGGAGATCCTAGAGGACAGCCTGAAAGGGTGTATTCCATCAGGGTAGCTGCTTGGTGGGAGCACAGCAGACCACCAGAGAGTACTGGGTCCTGGCCTCCCTCTGGCCTCCAACTACCAGAGGGCCTGAGAATCCAGGGAACAGCCTGACAGCCCCTAGACCCTGCCTCCACATGGAGGTGAGGATTTTGTGAGGCCCCTCCCAAGGCCCCAGGGAAAACCTGGCTTTGGTCGGGTAAGGCTGAGATCCTAGGGGACAGCCTGAGAGGGTGGGTTCAGACCTCCTCCATCTGGGTAGCTGTTCGGAGCTCAGCAGACCACCAGAGAGTGCTGGATTCTGGCCTCCCTCTGGCCTCCAACTACTAGAGAGTCTGGGAACCCAGATCCTGACAGCCCCTGGATCCTGCCTCCACGTGGTAATGAGCTTCCCCTAATTGTGCCATCCCATCCCCCTACCTAGGATTTTATGAGGCCCCTCCAAAGACCCCAGGGCACATCTGCCTTTGGTAGGCTAAGGCTGGGATCTCAGCAGACCACCAGAGAGTGCAGAGTTCTGGCCCCCCTCTGGCCTCCCTCTGCCATAGGGTTGACAATGCATAGGACTGCCTGAGAGAGCCTGGATCCTGCCTCCACATGGTGAAGGAAGCCTGAGTATACCTGACTGGAACCTGAATTGGGCTTCTGTGGGTACTCCTGAATAGCTGATCTGAAGCCATCAGTTCCCTCCAAAATAAACCTGAAAGAACCTGAACCCTGTACTAACAAGCTTTACATACGGCTCTAGGCACCCTGATAATACAAACAGAAGCATACTTCAACTTAATTCTCATAGCAGAATCATAAACAATAAAAGCAATTCACATGCCAAAACCACAACGAAAGAATAACAAAATGGAAAGCCAAAACAATATGTCCCCAGAAAAGCCCACCAATCCTGTAGTAGAGTTCTACAAAGAGAACCCCCTAGGGATAACC